ACAGCAGCTGGATACAGTTAAGGCAGAAAGAAGCACAAGAATTACAAAAAGTATAACAGGGCTAAAAAATAAAATATAATAATAAGAAAGGTCTCACAGAGACAGTGTACCAGGCATGATTAATATCCATATGGATACGTACATAATGACATAGTAAAATTTACATATGGTTAAGTACAGCTGTAATATGGTGAGTTTACATTTGGATATTTACACAAATGAAATTATGAATTTACATATGTACATATGTACATATGTATGGCATGGAGGATAATGTACCCACAATTCTGTTATTGCAGTCAAAAAATGCCACTGGTAGAAAAGTCCAGCGGTTATCATGATATTATTGCACACAAAGAGCTGTAAGAGAACAGTGTTATATCTTGTTGACTGATCTAGAAGAGCTGTAAGGAGAGAACACAGTGTTAAGGGATGATATGATACCGGAAGAGTTATGGGAGGAGATTAACTGGTAGATGATGCTATAGCAAACTGGAAGAGCTGTGGCAGGGAGGAAAAACAGCGATTAAAACAATGTTATTGCCTCAGAAGAACTACAGGATAAACAAACTCCGTTCATAATGTTGTTAATTTTAAAAAAAGAAAAAAAAAAAAAACCCTGATGTGGATTGCTGCCACTTGAAAAGCCGTGAAGAGCAAAAGACAGCATTAGCAGTGAAGTTGCACTGGGAGAGCTTTAAGATAAGACAGTGTTATATGATGTAGATTGCAGCCCTGAAGGACAGTGAAGGGAAAAGTACAGCCTTTAACAATGTCATTGCACTGGAAGAGCGAATGGATAAAAAACAATGTTATATGATGTAGATTGCTGGACTTGAGAGACTGTGAAGGAGGGGAAAAACAGTCGTAAATATGTTATTGCAATGACATGGACATGTTGAACAGTCAGACGGCAGAGGGAACAAGGGACCTGCAGTTAAATATCTTTTTGCGTTGTGGATATAGCAGCCTTTTGCTAAAGGAGCTGCTTCAGGTCCCCACGGTCTCATGCAGGGGGTGAGAGGGGTTTGACCATGATGGATGTCAGCTTGGTTTACTTCCTCCTCACACCCACCTCTTCAGTGGAGTCCACAGGACAGTCCAGAACAGGGCTGGCCCTTCTGACCAGTTTGTTTAGTTTACTTCTTACCCTGTCTGTGCTTCCACATCTCCAGCAGATCACTGCATAGAAGATTGCAGAAGCAGCCACAGTGTCATTGAAGGTCTTTAACAGTGTCCTGCAAACTTTTATGATATTGTTGGCAATACAAAAAAGTACATATCGGAAATTTTTTTTCAATGAAGCCAAAGGAACAGTGCCTTGGGTTAAACTGAAGTAATAATTGTAACTTCTTGCCTGGGTGCCATCGCCCTCCCTCTCCTGTCTCTCATCACTTCAACAAAAATGAGTTTCCAAAAGATCTATCTTCTTTCTTCTCTCCTTTCTTCCATTAGTTTTTCTCTCTCTCTCCATCTTTCAGACAGCCGGGTCCTCGAGGATGTTCGCAGGGTGGTTGGGGATGATTCCTACCTTCCACAACAACCAAGGGAGCTTTGTGGTCGCATCTTTACCACCTGCTATATGGCCAGTGAAAATTCCTCAGAGGACACAAGCAACAGGGCCAAAGACTTGGCCAATCAGATTGGCAGGTAAAAAAATAATATCTAGTAATAATAATAGTATTAATAGTAACTAACTTTGAAGAAATTTTGAGTGTACCAATGCAGCAGCTGCCTGTCAATATGTCCTGCTATCATTATACACGAGGTTTAACTTCTAAAAGTAAATTTTATTTTGTAAAGCCAGCATACTTCACCAACCTTGATCAGTTCCTTTTAACATTTCTGAGCTTTTACTTTGAAGGTGTAGCATACTTCACAGAAGCCACTTTAACTGACTGTAAATGCCAGGGTTTTTTGTGGGCTATGGAGTATTTTTCAAAAATAGGGTATGGACTTCTATTTTGAAAGTGACCCCGAGCATACACGTGGTTTGTCCATCAGTACGTGTGTAAGAAAGAAGTACTGTTTGGAAAGCTTGTTTGTACATCTGGAAGATTTCCAGTCTAGCACAGGAGGAAGGCATGAATTGGTGTGTTTATTTTGAAAAGCCAGCATATTTCAGAGTCCTTGGTAAGGATTTTTTAACATTTCAGAACTTTTATTTTGATAGTGTTGTGTAATATCTTGCAAACTCTTTTCAGCTAATTAGGGCTAACTAATACATGAACTTCCTTTTCTTAGCCTTGTTAGTCTTTTTCCTCTTAAAAAAACAATGTGCAGCTGCTAAAGAACCTTAAGCCGCTGTTACCTAGGAGAGACTCTTATTTATAGGTTTAAACCAACACGTGACGTCACCCACTCTAACTGAATAAAAAACAAAATTTTATTAAAACAAAAATATATTGAACTTAGACTGCAACTGCATAAAAACCCTAGCAAAATTTGTATGTATTTTCTCATAGCTGCAGGATGAGTTTGGTGCTGAAAATCACGTCGGAAATATCTACAAGAATAAGCCTGAGGAATAGTAATAAGTTTCAGTGCTTATGCAGTGGCAAGAAGGCAGAGTTTAGGTGCACTAGGCACTAGGATATACCCTCTCAAACAAATGGTCACAGCTGAAAAACGATGAGTCATATTGAAAAAAATGTTCACCCCATGAAGCACGATCTTGTTTTGAACAAGCTGATAAATTTTCATTTCCATTCTGTGTAATATAAAGATTTGGTGTCAATTTAAAGAGATGCTCCATTTCTGATTTTTACCTAAAGCTTTGGAGCTTCGATATAATGGAAGTGAATTATAGTTTTGGTCAGCACACTCTGTGCTCTGAGGTAATTTATGAAAAAAAATGCAAGTCCTATAGTAGTTATAGTCAACCTGGGTGAAATAAGAAAAAAATGCCTACATTTTATGTATAAATTATTCATGTGTTGGAGAAATTGTGACAAGAAAACAAGCTTAGCTGCATTTTTTCCCCCAAGAAATTTCAGGAATTCGTGAAATTTTAACTGCGATGGCATGAAAACCATAAAGGACATCAAAACACAAATTTTGAAAAATAACATTTAAAGGCTTGTGACCCGTTTAGATTTGAATAAAGTTTATACTGTAAAGTATGCCTGAACTACAGTCTTATGCACTGGCAATCATATCTGTTTTTTTGTTGTTATTACATAATACCGCAGTGCCTATTGAAAATACGTCTGTTCAGAATGGACTGATGACCCAGCCTGTAGTATTGCTGCTTGCAACTTTCTCAATAGCACCGACCAACCACTCATCCAAACAACCTCAAATTCAGACACACTGTGTTCGGCTGACAAAATGTTACAGATAAAACTCAAATTAGCTGATGCCTTGTAAGGTATAACCGGCACTGTAGAGAGAGAGTGTTAACACTAACCCTCTGAGTACAATGTAGCATTGAGCTGGACATAACTATAGGTTACTTGCGTAATCCTGGTTCTCAGAGTAGC